CCCCAGCTCCCTCAGCCTCTCCTCATAAGACTTATTCTCCAGACCCCTCACCAGCTCTGTTGCCCTTCTCTGGACCTGCTCCAGCCCCTCAATGTCTTTTTTATGGTAGGGGGCCCAAAACTGGACACAGTACTCGAGGTGAGGCCTCACCAGTGCCCAGTACAGGAATCCTTCCCCTCCTGCTCTCCTCCGCCCTGGTGGGGCCACAGCTGGAGCACTGTGTGCAGTTGTGCCCCCTCCCCGGTTCCAGAAGGACGGGGAACTGCTGGGGAGAGTCCAGCAAAAGGCTGTGGAGATGGGCAGGGACCGGAGCATCTCTCTGCTGAGGAAAGGCTGAGGGGCCTGGAGAGGAGCAGCCTGAGAGGGGACCTCATCAATGCTGGGCAATATCTAAATTGGGGTCAGACTCTTCTCCGTGGTGTCACAGGACAAGGGGTAATGGGCACAAACTCGAACATAAGAAGTTCTGTCTAAACATGAGGAGGAACTTCTTTGCTGTGAGGGTGGCAGAGCCCTGGCAGAGGCTGCCCAGGGAGGTGGTGGAGTCTCCTTCTCTGGAGACATTCAAACCCCACCTGGACACGTTCCTGTGGGACCTGCTGTGGGTGGACCTGCTCTGGCAGGGGGTTGGACTGGATGATCTCCAGAGGTCCCTTCCAACCCCATGGGGTTCTGTGATTCTGTGCTGCTGTCAGGGCACTCTCTGAGCAGGGGCTGATGCTCTTTGTTTTCATTTCTTGGACCCTGCTTCAGGACTTCAGCCTGCGTGGGAGCTGGGATGCAGCAGCACCTGGGAGCTCCCAGAAACCGGTGAGAGAAGGAAATGCCCAGTGGCAGCAGGAGCCGTCCCGGGAGCAGGTGAGCAGTGTGGAGGTGTGGAATGCACAGGGATGGGGACCGGTGCTTGCACCCCTGGAGAGAGGAGCTTCTTTGGAACTTTCCTGGCTCCTGACTGCCAAAGACCTGCTGAAAACCAAGTGTCCTGCGAGCGTACACGGTGAGGAGAGTCTACATTTCTGCTTTGGGCTCTGGTGGATCTCGCACGGGGAAACTGCTTGTCGGGCAGTGCTGCTCCCACAGAATCACAGAATCTTCTAGGTTGGAAGGGACCTTAAAGATCATCTTTTCCAACCGTCAACCTAACTGACAAAAATAGACACCCAAAAAAAACCCCAGCAGGGTCCTCGCTGAACGTGCTCGCCCGTGCTGCTGTCAGGGCACTCTCTGAGCAGGGGCTGATGCTCTTTGCTTTCATTTCTTGGACCCTGCTTCAGGACTTCAGCCTGCGTGGGAGCTGGGATGCAGCAGCACCTGGGAGCTCCCAGAAACCGG